ATGGTGCTATAAAGTATCTTTTTCTGCCATTTCTGATGCATTAATCAAAGTAATTTTGTTCCACTCTAGACGCTGCCATAAACGTGTTGACTATTTGTTTAAACAAGGTACTATTAGGGTTACTGGTGTGACCATAGATTATGGACCATGGCTGTGCTAGTTTGAAAAAGTGGATATGTAGTAAATTTCCTGGTGAAGTTTCTTACGTGTTCATTTTGGAAGGAAGGTGTCAATAATACCACATAATTCCTCATTTTTTCCGCCTACTTGATTGTTAGTTATTGCAGTTTTTGAGAGTTAGCTGATAGCAGGCAAATTCACTTACAATTTAATATCAATTTGAAGGTCCGACTAGATGATACAAATTGGTCATTTCCTGTTCAAATTGTTAAGGAGGACACAGTTCCTCTTGTCTTGAGGAGAAATGATGGCACGCGGAGGTTTTTGAAGATGGAAGTCCGTGGCTTTGAAGAGGGGTCACGTTTCATTGTTGTTTTTCGCCTTGGATCAACAAGGGGTCCAATCAGGTACCTGATTAATCTTTGTTTAGTTACAGGGCTCTGCTACTTCAAGCTTCTGATTAATTCAAATCTTGTCTCATTAATCAACTATATATGCTTGATAGGATCGAAAACAGGACGAAGAGGAAGGTCATTAGACTTCGGCAATCTGGATTTGGCAATGATGCATGGATCCAGCTATTGCCTCTTTCAACCACAAACTTTTCATGGGAGAATCCCTATGGCCAAAAACTTATTGATGCTGAGATTTACAGTGGCAATAGCTCTAGGGTCTGGAAATTTGATTTGGAGAAGTCAGGGTTCTGTTCTGAGTGTGATGGATTAGGCTTGCTTTTCCATGTTATAGATATGGCTGATGTCAGGGTTGCTAGGTTTATCGATGAGGGAGCAGCATTATTAAGTTCAAAAGAAGGGAGCACGTCTCTTGCAGAAGTTGGAAATCTTGGCAGTTCTCACATACAGAACCAGATGCAGGAGAATGGATCTCATTTAGAAGTTACAGTTGAGTTGGGTGCAATTGGGGTTTCTGTTGTGGACCATAGACCCAGAGAGGTATTATATTTGTATCTAGACAGAGTATTCATATCCTACGCTACCGGATATGGTGGTGGAACTACTAGCAAGTTTAAGCTTATATTGGGGTACTTGCAGCTTGACAATCAACTTCCCCTCACATTGATGCCTGTACTTCTGGCACCTGAACAAAACATTGATATGCATCATCCTGTCCTCAAGATGACTTTTACAGTGCGCAATGAGAACATTGATGGTGTTCAGGTATACCCATATGTTAATGTAAGGGTAACAGATAAATGCTGGAGGCTTAACATTCATGAGCCGATAATTTGGGCTTTTGTAGATTTCTATAACAATCTTCAACTGGATCGCCTACCCAACAGTTCTAGTGTCAGCCAGGTTGATCCTGAAATACGTGTGGACTTGATTGATATATCTGAACTAAGACTGAAGTTATCATTAGAGAGTGCACCTGCTCAAAGACCAGATGGGGTTCTAGGCGTATGGGGCCCAGTACTGTCGGCTGTTGGAAATGCCTTTAAATTACAGATTCATTTAAGAAAAGTGATCCGCAGAGACAGATTTATGAGAAAAAGCTCGGTCATTTCTGCAGTGGGAAACCGTATTTTTAGAGATTTAATTCATAACCCTCTGCATTTAATATTTTCAGTGGATGTGCTGGGTATGACAAGCTCAACTTTAGCCTCTCTCAGCAAAGGCTTTGCTCAACTATCAACAGATGGACAGTTTTTGCAGCTGCGTTCAAAGCAGATATGGTCAAGAAGAATAACCGGAGTTGGTGAAGGGATCAGGCAGGGGACTGAAGCCCTGGCACAAGGTGTTGCATTCGGAGTTTCTGGGGTAGTGACAAGGCCTGTGGAGAGTGCTAGACAACATGGCCTTCTTGGCTTTGCCCATGGGCTTGGACGAGCTATGGTGGGATTCGTTGTTCAACCAGTGAGTGGAGCATTGGACTTCTTTTCATTGACTGTCGACGGGATTGGTGCAAGTTGTTCTCGTTGCATTGAAATCCTTAGCAACAAGACCACCTTCCATAGGATAAGAAATCCCCGTGCTATTCGTGCAGACAATATACTTAGAGATTACAGTGAGCGAGAAGCACAGGGTCAAGTGATACTACACCTTGCTGAAGAGAGCCGTCATTTTGGTTGCACTGAACTTTTTAAAGAGCCTTCTAAATTTGCCTTGTCTGATTATTATGAAAATCATTTTATGGTTCCCTATTCGCGGATTGTTTTAGTGACTAATAAACGTGTAATGCTTCTCCAGTGTTTGTCTGCTGATAAGATGGACAAGAAGCCCTGCAAAATCATGTGGGATGTACCTTGGGAAGAACTCATGGCACTTGAATTAGCTAAAGCTGGCTACCCTAGACCTTCTCACTTAATCATCCATGTAAAAAAATTCCAAAGGTCTCAGAAGTTTGTCCGGGTAATAAAGTGCAACACTGAAGATGAAACTGAGGTGCCTCAAGCTGTAAGAATTTGTTCAGTTGTGCGTAAGATATGGAAAGCATATCAAACTGACGTGGCATGTCTACAACTAAAGGTTCCTTCAAGCCAGAGACATGTATCCTTTGCATCACATGATAATGATGGAAGAGATTCATTTAGCCAGAAAAAGCCTATAATTGAATCAAGGGGGCTGGCTTCCTGGGGTGCTGTCTCCGATAGAAGGAAATTTGTTCAACATGCTATCACATTTTCTAAGGTATGGAGCAGTGAACGAGAGTTGAAAGGTCGTTGTACATTGTGCCGGAAGAATGTTTCAGAAGATGATGGGATCTGTAGTATCTGGCGCCCTTCCGGTTTACCCCATGGGTACATCTCAATTGGGGATATTACTCATGTTGGTTGTCATCCTCCTAATGTTTCAGCTGTATATCGTTATTCTGACAAATTATTTGCCCTCCCAGTCGGCTATGACCTGGTGTGGAGGAACTGCTTAGATGATTACACCAATCCCATATCAATTTGGCATCCTCGGGCTCCTGAGGGCTTTGTCTCTCCTGGATGTGTAGCTGTACCTGATTTTGCTGAGCCGGAACCAAATGCTGTATACTGTGTTGCAGAAACATTGATCGAGGAGACGGTATTTGAAGAACAAAAGATCTGGGAAGCACCAGATTCATATCCCTGGGCATGTCATATCTACCAAGTGCGCAGTGATGCACTTCATTTTGTTGCTCTCAGGCAGCCCAGAGAAGAATCTGATTGGAAGCCAATGAGAGTTATCGATGACCCACAGCTTCACATTGAGCCGTAGTAAGTTTGTTTCATTATATTCCAGTTTCTACTAACCCAATAAACAAAACAGCTTTCTTGATTTTGCTTTTCCCTGTTGGAGAAATACTGGTTTGTGGCGCTACTTCCATCTTAATTGAAAAGTAGTCTCGAGTAGTTTGTACAGTCGAAACTGTGTATTGATGTACATAATTGTACCATTGGGATCACAATGACATGTTATGGATCTTCCTCAGAGGCTCCCCTTCCCTAAATTTTGGTACTGATCATTTTACAGCAATCAAAAGCTCCTTTAAGCTTTATAGTTATCGATGTTGCAGTCTTCATTTTTCATTTATTTCCTATGTTTACTGAAATCTATGATGGTTAAAGGTAGTTTATAAGGTATTTATTTTGCCTTATATGCACTTTAGCATTATTTCAAAATTTATCAACGGGATCTACGCTAGAAAGGTTGCAAGATCTGTGCTATATATTTTTCATGTCTTCTTATTTGTTGAATAAACTTTAGACAGGAAAAGGTACTCAAAATCGTTAATTCGGAAGGATTATGTGCATCCAATTTCTCTAAATGCTTAATCAATTGAGATCCTAGTCGATGATAATGTTGTTAAAGAGTATATATCCCTTCTAAAAATGTGAAGTTCGCTCATCAAGCCTTAGATTTTGTAGTTTTGATAAAATCACGGTTACTTATTTTCATACCCTAATCTACATCCTCAATCGACGATAATTACCTTCACTTAATAATTTAAGAGTGTGGCCTAGCCGTCAAAAAGAATTGGAGAGGGACTGATAAAAAGTCCCACATCAATAGAGGAATGGGAATTTGGTCTCCATATATGGACTTGGGACAAACCTTCCCTTATGAGTTAGCTTTTAGGATTGAGTTAGGCTCAGGTGTCATATCTTTACATAGTATCAGAGTCATCCCAATTTATTGTTCACCTATATTGGGCCTCCATTTAGAGAGATAAACATATACACAAAAGGAGAGGGATGAGAGAAGGGAGCAGATAATATTTTGATATTTTGCAATATGATAAATTAATAACCATAGTTTTCTCAACTTTGGCTTACATATGAGATATATATAAATTCAACTTTTCAAGAAGCAACTTAATTACATCATACAAACACATTAAATGTTTAAATAATTAACATAAAAATCAATTCATTACATCTTACAAACACCTTCAATGTTTAAATAATTAACATAAAAATCTAATTTAGATAGAGTAGTCAAAATTTCAATGTCTAGATAATTAATTTTATACACTTCAGTACAATATTCGATATTTTTTTATATATAAAAATCTCAAATATTGTACAAAACACCACAACATCAAAAATTAGACTTTCATACGATAATTCAATATATACTATACGATATCCACCCCCCTAATAAAAACGAGCGAATTAATGCTAGGATATTTTATTTCTTATATTATCAACCAAATCAAACAGGACAGATGTCTTCCCTTAATTGGTGTTCAAAAAGTTTCTTGCAAGACGTTCTTACGTTTAATGTCAACAACATGTTCATAGTCATTTAAGTCCCTACTGTCGGCAAAATATAACCAAAAGAACCTCAAAAATCAAGATATTCACATAAATGCCATTACCCGCCTCTCTCAACTTCATTCAACTGCAACTATTAAATTCCACCACTATCAGATCACACACTACACTACCAGAATTCTCTCATAAAAAATAAAACAATTCCCAGTTGTTGATTTGATCAACAATGGAAGGTTTAGTAAAGGGGTTGTTGAATGTGGCTTTTGGCAATGATGAAAATGAAAGAGACAATCAAGATCGTGATGAACGGTCAAGATCCAGTTGGGCGCAGGTTAGCACTCATGACTGAGACTCTGTAAAGATTCAATCTTTTTTAACTGTATGCTTATGGGGTTATGTTAATATGTGCAGGTGGTGACAGGGGAGCAGGAAGATGATGGGGTTAACAGTGATCGTAGAACTGGATATAATAGACAGGTTAATTTGGTTTTTCTTGATTTTTTAGAATATTAGTGTGGAATTTGATTTTAAAGTTTTGATTTTTTTTAATCCTTTTTGATAATAATAATAATAACAAACATAGTGTATCCCACGAGTGGTTCTCAGGAGGGTAGAGTGTATGCAGATCTTATCTATCTTGGGAAGATAGAGTGTTTGTTTTTGTTAGGCCGTCGGTTTTAATACCTTTATAAAAGTTTGAATTTTTGGCAGGATGAGAGATATGGGAGAAATGAGGAATCAAGGCCTCACGTGATTCCCCAAAAGGTACATACAAGTTTTTTTTTAATTATTGGTTCTTCTTTGTTTTATAGTGTCTTCAAGATTCTATGGTGTAAATGTCATGAATATGAGACTCCCAATTCTTGAATTATATGTTTTTTTGTCTCAAGTTTTCCTGTTTATAGAGTAGCTTTTGTGGTCATATTGTAGTTTTTTTGGTAAACTTTGAATATTTACAGTACTGATTAACTTGCTATTGATCTCTAGATTGAGTCTGTTTTTGTAGTGTGATGGGATTTCTTGCTTCATAGAATAACCCAAATACAGTGAGACTGGCCCGAATAGAGTGCGAATGGATATAGAGACTCATATAGCTAAAGGTGAAGCCAGGGATTTTTAATATATGGGTTCTGGACCATTGTTCTTGTTCCTTACTAGGTTCTAGATAGATTATTGTACATATCAAATGAATTTTTTTAACACAAATACAGAATTTGAGCCAAAGCTATTGGGTTCAAACCAGGGGAGGAGTTAGGATACCTCTAAACCCCCTTAGTCTAAAAATTATACTATATTTACATTGTCGAAATTATTCTATATATATATATAGTAGATATTGAACCCCCTTGGCTTCTTCATACATTTACTTCCTTATATTTTGTATCCCCTTGGTGAAAATCCCATTTCTGCCACGTGTTTGAACCCAGTTACTAAAATTGTGCCTTTGCCCCTGCATATAACAATTCCCAACTAGTTTGTGACCGATTTATAGTCATCCTTGTTGTTTTATTAGTTAATCCAAAGAATTCGTTTGGTGGTGTGATGGGATGGGGAAGGAGAAGTGTAATTGTTTTTCTCTTCTTGTTTGTGCAAAGAAGGTGCAGGGCTGCTTGTACAGTTGATTTATGCAATATGAGAGAACAAGATGCAAGTGCTGAATTGATAAGAAAAAGCTCTTGGAATGGTATTGCATGTGATGCAATTTTTTACAACAAGTAACTGTTTGAAAGGCAATAAAACTCGGCTTTAATTTTTTCATATGGAAATTAGTTCTAAACTAAAAGAACATCGTCTTGTATAAGATCTCAAGTGAGTTGAAGAATGAAGTGATAAGTATAATCATGTCACGAGTGTGAAATATTCATGTAATCACTGTGTAGTAGTATGTGGTTTCTGTTTGAACAATAATTGTTCTCAGCCGTCTCAAAACATGCAGGCTTCACCTCAGGGGTACCAAAGAAATGAAGACGAGAGGAGAGACAATGTCAACCAAAGCAGTTGGAAGCAAAAGGTTCGGTCTTGATCAATTATCATATTTATTCTAATCTCCCTCATGGCGGTATTCTCATGTTTTACTGGTATCTACAGGAGGACGAGGGAAACAATGACGGCTGGGAGACAGTCCAGAAAAAGCCTACTAAACGGCACCAACAGGTATTGTTTATGTTTTACAACTTATAGAACTATTCTACTGTCTAATCAAAAAACAAAGAGTGGTTGGCTTTCATCAAGACAAGTTCTCTTCTCTTATACAAGGTAGAAGGATGTGATAAATGATAGCATCTGGTTAAAGAACTATAGTAAAAATCCAAGTGTTAATAATTTTCAAAAGAAAAAACTAAGTGTTAATGTTTTTTCAGCAATTGAACACAAGTGAAGATAAACGTGGATCATAGGGTATAGAAATCATAACTAACCATGAGGTTATAACTAGGCTGTGGAATGTCTCTGTCGTGGGAGTAGGCTGAGTTTTCAAAATCTTTCTTATACAAATTTATGGACAAGTGAAAGTTAAGTGAGTATGAAAAATTTTGAGATATCAACTTGATCAAAGATTGTAGGTTGTGCTATGCAATTTTAACTCCATCTTGTCTTCCCTGATTTGATGGTTTCAGAACAGTGCAATGGTACCGTCTTACTTGTGAGGCTTGGCAAAAAACTACTAAGAGATGTGAAGACATCTATAACTCTTCTAACCTTCATTTTGCCTTCCCTCTAATGATATCAAATCTTAGGAGCTTTATATAAAGTACTTCATGAGCATAAATGGGTGGTAATTGATGTGGAGTGGAAACCTATATCAACTAACAGATCATTTGAGAATACCTTGGCATTGATAGGTTTGAGGGGGAAAGGAGTTCCAATGGCAACCGTGCTTCTGAAAGCATTGGAGCTTAGAGTTTACAAATACTAAAAACTAAACTTTGAAGCATTCTAAGATCCCTTTCCACTATACAAAATATTCGTCATTTTGAAGTGTACTTGCTAGTTCCGCTCTTGTTGTTGTTGAAATAACTCTTTACGGAAATTGGTGACCATGTTCTTTTCTTAAGATTATCTGATCTTAATTTATGCTTATCATATGAAAATTATGAATATGCTGCAACAGGTAAAAATGGATTCTTGGAACAATTACAAAAAACCTCTTGATGAGCAACATTACTCTAATGAGGTTGAATATGGAGTTGACATGGAACCCTCCAAAGAAGAGCTATCAGACTTATCGAAAGCTTGCAACAAGCTCTGGGAACTTGATCTTAACCGCTTAGTTCCAGGGAAAGATTACCAGATTGATTGTGGTGAAGGAAAAAAGGTGTACAATAAAGATGATATGGCAGAAGGATGCTTATTTTCCTGGCTGAATGACGATGTATTTAACAAGCCTTCTTATTCTCGTTTCTGTTCCCTTTTGGATAATTATAATCCACATCAGGGTGTTAAGGAGAATGTAACACCTGAAGAAAAGCGAGAACAAACAGCATTCATAGAAGAGATCAGTAGAACTGCACCAATTAAATATCTGCACAAGTATCTGTCATTGAAAGGCATAGTTTCTGGTAATTATGAAGAATTTAAGAGAATGTTGACACGTCTCTGGTTCGACCTTTATAGTCGAGGTGGTACATCCGCTAGCTCTTCAGCTTTTGAACATGTTTTTGTTGGAGAGATAAAGGAACGCGGGGAGAAAGAGGTGTCTGGATTTCACAACTGGCTTCAGGTGGAATTCCTGCTTTTCATTTATATTGTATCTATGACATTACTCTTCCCCTCTACTTAGAATTAGTTGTAAATTGCAAAGGTAATGTGCATTTTTAAATTTATTTAGTAGAGGAACACGACAAATCAGTCATCGTTCAATAGATTTCATAGCTTGTACCGCTTATCCTTAGTTTTTTGTCCTTTTCACCATAAACTGCATTGAAGTGCAGAATCTGAGCTGTGGAAAGTGTAAGAAAAACTTACATTCTTCTTACATGTTTTATCCTTCGCAGTTCTATTTAGAGGAAGCTAAGGGCAATGTTGACTATCAAGGATATATTTTCCCCCGAAGGCGTGGAGAGATTGTAAGTCATACCAAACTTTAATTTAGTTGTCTAAGCAATAAACAGAATTTGATACCTGATGCATGATTCACTAATCTTTTCTGAATTTAGCAAGTGCTCTAGTAAGAAACTATATGTATTGGTACATGCCGCAGAAAAATGGCACTTTTTGATGTCAAATACTCCCTCCGTTTCAATTTGTTTGTTTAGTTTCGACTTGGCATGGAGTTTAAGAAAGTAAAGAACTCATCTGAATCTTGTGATCTTGAACTAAAGATATGCAGAATGTACCAAAATATTCTTAAATCTTGTGGCCTTAAACATGTCATGTGGGAAGTTGGAATTAAAGAGTTACAGAAAAAGGAAAAAAACATTCTTTTCGAATGAACAAAAAAGGAAAGTAAGACAAACAATTTGTACCGGAGGAAGTAACTAACAATCTCTGGAGAAAATTTCATTCTGTAAACAACATTGTCATATCATATGGAAATGCAGAATCTTGTTCAAAGATGCTGATGTATTGGTGTAAAAGAGTATATCTACCTTAGTTTTTTCCGCCATCTATTTGTATTCATTCAGCATGTTAACTTAAGTTCTCTTTTCCAAATGCAGCCCGACTCAGAAACTCAACTACTCACTATACAATTTGAATGGAACGGCGTCCTCAAATCTGTGTCAAGCAGTTTGATTGGAGTTAGCCCCGAATTTGAAGTTGCCATCTACACTCTCTGTTACTTTGTTGGAGGGGAGGAAAACCACGTCGAGATTGGTCCATATCCTGTTAATATTAAATGTTATCGATTGGGAGATAGCATTGGCTCTGCTTTCCCTGTGGCTGAATGTTGAATGTCACACACATCATTTCTGTTATCTCCATTACTGGACCAAATATGTTTGTGGGATTTTACCATTTGTTTAAGAAATATTCTTGTCTGGTATTATCCGCGCTTCTATTGCTGTCATATTCGAACTGCTGGTGAAATGAAATGCTGAATATTGTTCTGTTCTATGAAGCTAACATAAAGATTGTTGCTCAGCAGTGAACACTTTGGGAATAATTTGCAATTTTATTTCTTGATATTGATCAGTTCTTCTCTTTTCATTTTGTTACAAGTCTTCTTCTTTCAAAAAAACTAGCTGGTTGTCCCTTTTTGGAACACCTGATTAGTAAATGGCCCTCTTTCAATTTCTTTTGCAACTTATAGATCTTTCAAACCATAAGAATATCTTTTGAGCAAACTGAAAATTTTACGAGAAAACACTAGACCATGTTGTAAAATTCTATTTGTTCTTGCCGAAGTTAGATGATATTCAATTGGCAAGTAAGCACTCAAACTTTAAGAGTACACATCTAGACACCTTAACTAGCAACTAAACACTTTAACTTTCCCCAGTATGTCTCGTAGACATCCAACACTGACATGATACATGAATTTTAGTGGCGTCAAGATGACCATTTTGTAATAGAGACGGATTATGATGTGTAGATATGCATACTCAAAGTTAAAAGTGTTAGTTTGCCAGCTGAGGCCAAGTTTGAGCATCTCTTTATGTATAGCACTTCTATAATGGGGACAATATCTAAGTGAAGACTAGAAAGGGACATTTGCAAAAATCAGCTGTTTTGTCCTTCTCTGAAAAGGGCTTTTCTTATTCTATCGTTAGCTTACCATTTGCATAATAACTTGCCCCACTGCACTGTAATTTGAGAAAGCAAAATGTGATGATTGTAAATTCTATTCCATTTCTTCCCCAAAAACATAATCGTTAGAACAGATAACAAAGGCAAATTTTCCTGAACTAAGTTTAAGAGTTGCCAAAAAGAAGGCGTTCACGCCTCACTACACTGGATTTTCAGACTATACATGTATAAAGGGGAAAAACATTCAGTTTACAACCAGAGCATTCGCTACACAGCATGCAACAAGGCGCTACTACAGGTCACGAATAACTACAACTATGTCGAGCTTGTGTGGGGAAACATGTCCTGCAGAGCTTGAGGAAGATTCAAGACAATTTCTGCATATGCTGCAAAAAGCAAAGATGTCAGTTACTAAGCATATCCCGATCGATACATAAAATTCAAATCAACATCAAAGAAGCTTCGGGAGTATTTTAACACAGATATTTTGTCACCAGAAGACTTCTCGTGATTTAGCCTTTAAATTACCACATAAAAGAAATGCTGATTACAAGTGATACTTGAGGCCTTGTTTGGTCTTTCAATCTGAGGTAAAGCTAACTAAGTATGCTCGTATTGCTGTAACTGTCTTCTTAACCTTTTTTATGCTTGACATTACTTATCATTCTAGCAACTCAATCTCATAAACACCAAAAACTCAAAGCAGGTATAAGGAGCTCTTTGTTTTGTTTTGTTTTTCAAATTAAAGGTTAACACAGAATAGTACATAGTAGGAACACCTCATGAATAGTACAAACATATAAGGAGTTCTTCATGAAGGACACAGAATATGCATTGTCAAACAATTTATACATATAGTAACAGAGGGGAATTCCGAAAAAGAAGCAAAACCTTCTGGCAGACTCATGGTTCGGAGTGCATCCTCTGCATACGTCAAACGCGCTGGGATAGGGTGACTTCCAACTCCATTTCCTTTCAGATGCAGGGCAATTTTATCAGAAGATTTCTTCGATTGGTGCATAGGCCATGCCAGGACACTAACCCCAGTGGGAAGTGTAGAGATCAGATCTGCATATCTCAGACTCACTGTCACCTTGCTGCAAGGACACAAATGTTGGTAAGAGTTGGACCTTGCAAGTTAACCCATAATTAAAATATGTAGAGTACTAGAGTAGCACTCTCTGTAGTAACCAAGATTACAGGTCAAACATTTGCTTTAGACAGACATACATATAATGAGATAGAATGAAACATTTGACCAAAAAAATTGTTAGTCAGAAGCACACAAAGGCAAGTCACATATACCCAATCAGAAAATGAAGAAATTTGCTACATATCACGCCGCTTCAACGCATTCCCCTCTCTCCCCGGTATCGTCCCACACAGAAAGAAAGAGCCCCGGCCCGACCTCTAGGTTTCCCCTACTTGCTGCGTCAAAAACTAAATCACAAGCTTCAATCAAAATATTTTCTATTGAGATTTCTTTCAATATCTAGAATATTGCCCTTTCTTAGATAATTATTGATATGAAGATTGCCGGGTATATCAACAAAGTTGTGTTTGGACACAACAGGAGAATGGAGGCTGTGCTATAGGCTGATAACATTTATTTGTAGTTACCAAGTTAAATCAAGTAGTGCACCACTAGAATTAAGTGTCATTAGTAGTCTTGTGGAAGTACCGAACAGAAGAATTAAGTGAACCAGATTATGTTGTTCAGCCTAAACAACATAATCTGGTTCACTTAATTCTTCTGTTCAGTACTTCCACAAGACTACTAATGACACAGGAAAGATCCAAGTTGGAAACGCCAAAATAAAATAAAAAATTCAAAGTCAACCTCCAGTGAAGCACAGTGAAACAGAAGATACAATAACAGAAAGGAAGAGAAGGCATACGAATCAAAATCTTCAATCACAAACTCGATCATATGGTATGGAAGACTATGATAGAGTTCACCAATTTGATTTCCATACAACTCTTTAATAAGCCGAACCTGCAAAGAACAAGTTGTATTTCACCAATACAAATATGTCACTGAAATATATTTTGATAGGTAAAGTAAATTTATACCTAAACGGCACTGAAGAAAACCCTATTAAATCACTAAAATAGCTAGACACTCCCTATGTTATCCATCATACGTTAACTTCATCCCCTCAACACAATTCCTTCCAAATACTAAAAACGTTGTTAATTTTCTTGTCTTGAATTTCTGAATTACAATTACATCCCACAAGCCTCACCTCTTTTCTTTTATTTATGAAGCAATGAGAATTCATTAAAGGCATCAAGAAGATGCATCAAAAGTTACAAAAGACTCAGAGAATGAGATTGCTCCTGTAAAACAAAACTATACTAGTCTAGCACCAGGGAACTAACACATTCCAGAAAATAGTCACAACTAGTTACAACTTACAGGAGTCTGGTCTAGCCAACAGAAAAGACTAAGCAAGCTTTTTCGTTAAGGACATGATATTTTTTTTCTGCTTTCCAGTTAATATCTTCTATTTCTAATAATTATCTTTATTACAATGTTAAGCTGAAATCCTCTCTATTTAGACATCTAGGTTCCCTTTGCCTTGTTTATCCAATGTCCAACCCAAAGATGATTCCACCTCTTCAATTCCACTACTGCTCTGCCCCTACTTTTTCCAAATTATTCCACCAAATCTTCTGTGAATCTAGTAAACGATAGAAAAATTTGAAGAGTCCCCAGCAAAGTTGCAAAGGAGAGTATGAGTGTGATTCAAGCCCATGACTGAGCAAGAAACAGATGAGTAATATCTTTCACCAACAAAAGAGGGAAGAGCTCTGGTACTTCATTATTTTTAAGTTAGGGCATACCTGTTCCCGTCTATCTACATAGGCTTGCAACAGATCTCCAACATGGTCAATAAATCTCTGAAGAAATCATGAATCCAAGTTCAGAAGTATCCAGTCAGTACTATGTATGAAAGAGCTAGGATCTAATAACAATGAAGCAATGACATATTAAAACAGGATCTAATACAAGTGATGTAGTCATCATACTATTGCATTTGACGAGAGAAACTCGTTTTCAGCTTCACGTATTGGCAAGAAAAAAGGGACTGTATGTTCCAGAACAGTCATCTTCTCCAGAAATGACTTGCTCTCAAGCACACAGTGGTATAGGTCACAAGATTCGCCTGTAAATTAGACAAATTGACGTCATTCACCAGTAGTCTAGATGAAAAATCAAAATTTTGACCCAACTCCAACACAATAAACTTCATTTGGGAAATTTGTACAGGTATATCTAAGTATGTATTGGAATGCTCCCACTGGAGAATTGTAGCCGCCACTAGACAATAGCACATGAAGTACCTGCAAATGAAGTATCATATTGTATGCCTATCCTTGCTCCATCCAAGCAACAAATAACCTGCACGAAGAAAAAAGAACAAACAAAGGGGTAAAACAAAGTCAGGTCCATATCCCTCACAATTCCAATCCCTATCAGCACTGCCAACTTGTTGTGATAGTAAAAGTAAAAAACAATATCACACAAGATAAACTGAACTATACATCAATCAGCATTTAGTGGAGACCTAAGATGCAGAAAGGAAAAGAAAATACAAAGCTACTCAAATAATAAGAGTTGATCAACAAAAAAATTAGACATTATGAGAAAATTGTTTCACAATCCAGAAATCTGAACAGGTAATAACTTAAAAGTATCTTTCAAAAATAATTTCTCCTAATAAGCCATGATAAATTGTAGTTACCAGGCACAACTTACCTTATTCCCAACTTTGTAGGTAATTTTATCATGAAATGGAATTGGCAACTGGGTTGTATCCCCTGGCATTTGCATAGCCTTTCTCTCAGCCTCCATGTGTACCTAAGATAAATTGAATCACGTAACAAAAAACATGTGAGAGAATCTGAGAACAAAAGCAGAATAGTTGATCAGTAAGCTAAAACATGCAGGTTTCTGAATCCGGCATCCACTAAAGTGATGAGAGAAAAAGCCAGATTACTGGTTCCTTGATTGGGAAGGAAGTATCTTAAGGAAACATCAAGTTGAAGCTGAACAAATAATTTAACCATACATACCCGCTCTCTTATTGTTGCCAATAAGCCATCATTCCATTGCTCACCTTTTAAGATGAGTTCTGCAAAAGAATTAAATGAGACAGGAATATCCTATTGTCCAGACTAGAAGAAGTACATTTGAAGGACAACTGAAGACCAACCAGGATTGATCAAGGAATAGAACTCATCACTATTTGTAGAACGACAAGTAACATAAGAGTAAAAAAGCAATGTTTATCTATAATAAGCTACCTCCACCGCATACATCAGTTACTGAAACAACTATACCCTTTAAGGACATAGCTCAA